GATGGTGTAGTGGTGAAGTGCGCTGCTCCCCGGTAAGGACAACAGCGCGTGTTCGTTCCTCACTGCATACACCTGTGGTCCGGAGTTTTGCAAATATCTCAGCACTTCATACGAGTTATATTTCACAACATACCCTGCCATTAAGAAGAATAAAGGCAGCAAATAAAAGAGTTAAGATTGTGATTATAACGAGGCCTCAGCTTAACTGGGTTCAATGCCGATATTGGCTCCCAGATCAATCCCGTTGACGGCTGATTGCTGATGGCAAAAAGATCGATAGAACTAGCTGAGATACATGCAAAGGACCCGGATGGTGTAATGGTGAAGTGCGCTGCTCCCCGGTAAGGACAACAGCGCGTGTTCGTTCCCCACTGCATACACCTGTGGTCCGGACTGTACTTTGTTACTGGAGGACAAAGAATTTAGAGAATACAATGGATCTGAAGGAGAATTTGAAGGTGAAGGGTATGGACTTACTATGATAAATAAACTGCAAATTGAAAATAGATGTACTTTTTGCGCTAAGTTATTTTTTTGCTATGGTTTCGCTTTCTAGTAATACCTAGGCTCTTAATAAATCGATTAACTAGGCAACATAGTGTTCTGATGCATAATTTGAAGGAGGCAGCTTAAAATTATCATCAATAGTTCATGTAATTAAATGCTGTTGTTCTTTCCTAATTGACTTCTCTGTATTTTGTATCTAGACGCCTAACTTTATCCAATTTCTGCATCCGTTGTCTGCTTCTTAGTGAGAAATTTGGAATCTGACCTTAAATGTGTTATAACGAATGAATTTAAATGTTGCTTAACCAATGAGCGCTCGAGGAATGATAAAACAGGTAGTAAATTAACGCTAATCTCATGACTAGAATGTGTGGAGCATTTAATATCATATCAGTGTCGTGCTGTGGATCTAATCTTGGTATCAACACCTTGCTTGAAGTAGTCTCGTGTGTAAACGACATTTGGAAATACCCGAAGCATGAAACCATTTATTATGATTGTGTAGATTATCTCGAATGGATACCGTCATAATGCATTTAGAAAAGATTGCAATGGGAAAAAAAGCGGAAGGATTCAAGCATTGAAAAGTTTGGTAAGTTATATATAGTGTCCGTAGGCATGAATATCTCTCATGAAATGGAGGTGGGTCTTAGTTAATCACAACATAAGGTATTGGTCGCACCCATTACTCAGCGCTTGTTACATACACTACGATGGTAGACGTTCCAGCTTCGTTACTAGGTTATACCTATCATTTCTAAAAGATGAGTAAGAGGCGAGTTAGTTTTAAACTACAATCTAGGTAAACGCGTGCTCCCTAATTAAGTAGAGGGCTTCTGCTCATCTTATCATCATCTCACTTTCCCAATTTTTTTTTGGTGCCTTTTCGTATTGTGATTAAACCGTCCTTTTTTGAGAATATTCAATGCTTACAGCTGTTTGTACCATGGTTCCTTGGATTGTGTAATTTCTTTTTCATACAGGATACTCCGGTTGTGTGGGGAGGCAAATTTCCGTGATAGCATTGATAGCTGCAGCTGGAGTCGCCTGTGTGGGCATGCTAATGATGATCTCATCCTTTTCCTTACGGAACATGCTAATGTAATGTGCCCAGAATTCTGCTGGTCGACGATTCACGTTCCTCAATTCTTTTTTCTTTCTGCATTTCCCGAGGAAAGACCTAAACAAAAATGCTGTTATTGAGTTTTCTTCTCCATATATTTGATTTTTCAGCAGCATATGTGATTTGAGCAAATTCCTTAGTGTTATTCGTCCGGTTTTATTTTTTATTTTGATTAAATACAGGAACCACATTATCATTTAAGAAAAACTTCCCAGTACCTAGGTCTAAATCACTGATATATTCAAGGCGTCACTTTTTTTATCCCTAGTACTATCTTACTTTTCATTTCTTTCTATTTGTCTCACAGCCTCCCTGTTCCTGTCTTCCTCTGCTTTTTGCAACCGTTTCTCGCACCTCTATCATCATGTCAACGGTGCTTTACCTCTCTTAGTTAATTCTTCATTCCCTCCTTGACAAGTAACTTCATGGTCTCATTTTAGCGGTTTCGGGTAGAAGGAGGGTCGTGATCGGGTGGCGCATATAGGTTAACTGTCCCTCAAAAGCAGCTATATACTTGTTTAATGAACAGAGAGAGCAACAGGATGGGTTCACGTGTCTGTTGAGCTGAGCTTGTGACTCGTAGATTGCCAAGAATATATACAGACGTGTTACATCCCACATATATAATCGAATCGAAACTAGGAATCGATGGTCCTTCTAAGTAACTAGACTAGTCTTATTCATATCGATGCAAAGCTTACTCTCAGATTCGTTGCACTATTCGCTATAGTACTTGTCGGCGTATTCTAGTTGCAAGTGATAACGGACTGTTGGTGAGGAAGTCTCATCAACACGATTCTTATGAATGGTTGATACGCCTGTGGTGCTTCACTAAGTGTAGGTGGAATAACGCCGACCAGAAGTTTCACTAATGTTGAAGGAAATCTACAACTACTTTTTTGGCCTCACGCTCTTCTGAGTTCGTACTAAATTTGAAGACTGTGCGTTATAAAAGGTGGATAGAAGTGCAACGTCATTTGACGAGCCATTTAGATTAAATGCTTTGTTTCTTTTGTTTCATGCAAAACGAATCAAAGAATTCGAGGTTCAGGTCTAACTGTATTATTAAAATTTAGTGATCTCACTCTACAAGCAGTAACATCAAACGTCACTTAAAATAGACATGGTTTTCAGGACGGAGAACATCCACTGGATAGCAGCTACTACGGACCTAATGCCGGTTGTTATCTAATGAACAACGGGTACAAAGATATGTTCTAATCCTTTTATTGAAATCTGTATAATTTGCTATATGGAAAAAACCTACGAACAAAATAAGGATTTAAATGTCTTCCGGAAGCTGCTTGACATGAAGCAGTAGATGCCAAAATTAACTGGATACGTTGCCTAAAAAGCAGATCTCGTTTCTTTAGAAACGTTGCATGGGTACTGAACTCTTGGCAAGCAAACGTTTGCACAAGTTTGCGTACAAACAGGATTTTTTGTGTCATATAGTTTAGTACTATTTCTCTCGTTCAAAAATTATCCACTAACGACCTGAATAATATTGTTTGCTGTTTGTTTAGGACTCTTAAGAGAGAGCTAGGAAAGGCCGCGCACTCGATAACTTCTATCTGTACTCGTCCTCTCTTCACGAATCTCTCTTGCTAAGGTTTCCATAGCTCTATTAGTCGCAAGCATAAGTGTCGCACCATGAGGTGACGCTGCATTTGGTGATAACGCGGACTAAAAGCGGGCTTGTGTTTGCCCTGAGGCACACGTGGATTACAAGACTGTACTAACCGCTGCAGGTGCGCACTTGACACGTATGCGTATGTGTAACTATATGTTTACATGTATGCGATAGTGTACCTATGTACATGTGGATTATATCATATCATTTTGCCAATTATATAATGCCAATTTTGCTAGAAGCCCATAATTAAATGACTTGTAAGAATATAGGACGTTAGAAATTCCTCTCAGGCCAGTCTTCACTAAAATCCTTGTCTACTCCGATAAAACTCGGTGAGTAGTCTAAGCCGCCAAGCTGGGGAAAAATAGGCTTTACTTTTAGCAAAATCGGTAAAAATATCGTCAAAAAAATAATGAGGAAAAAATTAATCGTTCCTATGACCCAAGCTCCCATACTCCAGCGTTAGAAAGGACGAATACAAAAACGCTACCGCAATTTCAGGTCCATTCCATGCGCCTGTATCTCAACCTGGTGATATCATGTTTTATATTGTTAGCTTTTATCATCAGGTCCTCATAGCTTCGGATTTTATTGCGCTCGCGCATTGTAGGTACAGGTTATCATCACAGTCCTATACAAGTGGTCCAGAATGGCCCCGATATTTAACCAGCATCGTCGTAGTCGTCACACAATCAATCCCATGCTACTATACCGAGGCTTGAGTTTGAACGATGAAGGTCTTTACTTTTATTGACTTTGGCTAATGGCAAGATGGCCAAGCTGTAGCGTAGAAGCAACAAGGCTTTTCCGCATTTATCAGAGTCTGCGAAAGCATATTTGAATCTGAGGGAATTCGCTCCTGCGGTTCTCTTCCTCTCCATCCTAACAAAAATTCGCAATGACAACAAGTGGGAAAATTCTTTATCGACTTCGAAAAATTCCGTATAGAAAAGTTTTTGGATGTTACATTATTGGTAAAGGACGAAAAACTCTTCGATTTCATCTTCACCCTTCATGACCGAAGTTCATTTATAGTAAATCAAAATTCCAGGATCTTCCCATCGCTGGACCTGTTAGTTTCACAACAGAGAGTGGTGCAAAGTGATAGGCTACATAGTAGAGAATTGAGGTGTTTGCCGCAGCCATTTTTTCAGTGTTCTACATATTACCATACACTCTACATTCAAGGCTCTTTTTTATAGAAAAGAGGGAAAGTAGCGAAATTAAGGAAACAAAATTGTCTACCCATCGTAAATTGGAATTTGTCCACTTCTCTGGATGAGGAAAAGGAAAAGATTTTGGGAAAGAGAAAAGGAAAAGAGACTCCCGATGCATGGAAACCAAGGCTGAGATAGCAATTCGCAGTTGATGAAGCCTACATAGTCTACTAGTTGAGATGTGATTAAACTAGCATGTTAGAGAAGCTGCTACCCATCAGCATCACACTAATCCAGCTATCCACGTATCTAACTGTCAAAATATAAGGTTCCAAACTAATAAAATGCCAGTAGGGTCTTTTTTTTAAACGTGAACGAAGACCTGCATAACATCGAAAAGTATCACTGCTCGTCGCCTACAAGGTCTCTCTTCGCGTCATCCCTAACCGGATTAATGAAACACCGGACAAAATGCAGTTATGCAAGCAAGTGAAATTTTTAAATGGATCCAGCACGATAGATCTTTACTCTATATTGAGATTTATTTAGGTACCACGAGAGTATAGGAGATCTTGCTTCACTTTTATCACCTTAACAAAAAGACCTTCTTCTCAGTTGTTGCAGAAGCGCCCATGGAAGTTCTGATAGCTACGACGTTGCTGTGCAGCATATAAAGACTTTTTTAAGAATAGTTTAACAATTTCACTGCCAAAATTTCACCATTATTCCGCGAAATTGTCGTTAACTTAAAGAGAAAGTCTCGAAAAGACTATACCATCTTATTAAAATCATCTACGAGCACTCAATGAGAAAACCGGGGTGGGATAAACGATTGGAGGGAAAGTCGATGACACAGTGAGAAAATCGGCCTGGCAAACTTGAAGGAGAACGGATAAATTAAGATTAATGGGATTAAACCTACAAAAGAGTTTAGCTGAGTTCCAATGTTGATTGTTTATTAGTGTGTTTATATATGTTTTTCTTCCTGTAGAAGCATGAAGAATTTATAAGAGCACCGAGCATGCTTTGTAAAGCACAATGAACAGGGGACTCCATAATCACATTTCCAAACCTACGACTTCTCTTTCTCTAGTTTACAACATGGAAGGTTCGCTGTTACGTAAACAGGACCGATGGTAATTCATCGTTTTCGAAAGTGCTAAGTAAAGGTGATGTGAGGGGTGTTCGTAGCATCCACGTAAGAGAGGAGTGATCTGGTTTACCACGACAATGACCACGACTTAGTGACTCTGTCGCAGTCGCCAAAAATGTTGAAAATTACGTGGGCCCCACACATCACGCCTGTTAACGACAGACGGTGGAAAGAAGTAGTTAGCGACTAGGTTCCATGTGATTTCAAGTGTACGATGGGAAGGTCACGGACCCGATGGTCAGGTTTCTTTACAAGGAACATAGGAGAAAAATTTGATATTTTTCCTGTTTCTTGAGAGAAGAAGCCATAAGGGGGCATTCTCACGAGCTAGGATCAGAAATTGGTTTTAACGGTGCTAGCTCGAGTTATTTGAAGAAGCGACCGCAGGGTAAAAGTGGCACGTGATTGCTTCTATTTATTGAATAGAGGGTTTCCTTGGAAAGTGATGTTGTAGAAAGCACTACGTACAGAGATTTTAAATTTTAAGGGATATTAGTACCTACCATTACCAGCATATTGCTTGTCAGAAGGAAGACGGCTGGAAATGCTCCTTCCAAAAGAGAAAATCGGATAGAAAATGTCTCGCAAACACATAACACGCCCATAAATGCCGCTTGTGGCAAATTTACTACCTAAAAATGTGTGGTAGAGTGAAGCTGTATATAACGCTATTATTTGGACTTCTTTTCACGATTGTTTTTATTATTCCAATAACTATGCACTTAGAACTGCGCGCAGTCTGTCAGTAACAAGTTGGTTTACCAGGTTGTTGGCGAGCTTTCGTCCCATGATTTAGCATACACATATGCAATATATTCGGATATAAGGCCTCATCACAGAAGCACATGTTGTGGCGTTCGGCATATCAGTTAGTTGTTAATGAACTTCACCATTCAAACGAACCCGGATTGTAGAAAGTCGTCCATTGTTCCCACGCCCCAAGAAATTGGTATGCTTGAAAAATGGTCAACACTATGCCGAGCATATTTAAAGAAATCCAGATATTCAAGTTCCGAAATAAAAAGGCAAAAGAGGAGGAATTAAGACAAAAACTTTCGAAAAAAGTGAGAACGACAGAGGAACAACAAAGACGAGAGAGAAGCAGAAATGACTGACAAGGTGTAAAGCGACGAGTGTAGGTGAACATATCGAGAATCGAAAGTGATTAAAACGAGAGAACGAGAGAATAGCAGTTCGGCTAGAAAGGAAATGCATAAAATTATGTAGTCTGTTCAGATGACGCCAATGAAAGCAAAAAGCAGGCTAGAGAGCGAGGTTCTTATACGCTCTACCTATGCACTTATGATTCAAACTATTTGGCGCAATTCTTTAACTTTTAATGGAACGTACTTAGGCGTCATAAATATCACTCAAGCATTGCTGACCATTGTAATGCCTCCCATCTTATTTACTCTTTTAAGGATTTTGTCACTCCAACACAGATGTTGTGACTGCTTTTCGACGATGATTGTACTACTACCTCCGTCACGGTTTTTCCTTTACTGTTTATTAGTAAGCAACAGTTCACTTTATCCATACTCTACGTCCATCTTCACATCGTTTTTCATTTCACGTCATTCTACTTTGTCATAGCTCAAGGTAATGCTCGTGGAAAATGCGTGAGTGGCGTTGCGCTTTCAGCAGCGCACGCGAACGGACTTGAACTTGTACCAAATTTCCTCTTCCACAACATCTGGAAGGTCACCTTTTATTACAACGTCTGTCGAGAGAAAACCTACCAAAAAGAGGGAAACAATGACTACAAGCATCAAGCTAGTAGAATTACTGTCTCGCTGTCTTGCTGCTTCTTCTGGCCGTTTCTCTCTAAAGAAAATACTCTGAGAACAATCGACCATTAGCTAAGTTAATGACTACGTGTATCGGCAAAGATCAATTACGTTTTCACTATCTTAACCTATGGCAAGTGATCGATAGAACTAGCTGAGAGACAGGCGTCTGCGTTGGGAATCGAACACACAATCATACTCTCCGTTCACGAGTGGTTTCTTATAGCACTGGTAGATAGCAAACTAGATGAGAGAAAGGCGAAATGAAGGACCTGCATGGTGCGGCGGTGAACGCGTTACTCCCCGGAAAGGACAATAGCGAGTTCGTTTCCCACCGCATACACTTGCGGTGCTGAGTTTTGCAAATATCTCAGCATCACAGAAGTTATGTTTTCATTCTTTTTTCTCATTGTTCATTTTGCCGAGTGAGTTCGAATACATTGCTTAACGCGCATTAAACTTCACTTCATTATATCATGTGTAACATCCATTACTACACTTCTCTTTGTTTTGAACAACAGAATTAAATAATTTGTCAACAAAAAACTCGGCGGAAAATGTTATAAAAACGAACATTAATTCTCTAATCATGTACTGTTCATCATTGGAATGCTGACACTGGTAACCCAATGTCAATGCTTCTGAAGCTTTTACAGTAACCTAGATGGACGAAAGAAATTACAAGGATTTCGTCCGCATTTAGTCATATTGTATTAAACCAACCTTAGAAGACGAAGCTTTCTTTTTTGAGCTCTTTGAATGCCTTTTATCAGCAAAATGTTTAGTATGACCAACAGTACACTAGGTAGTATAATGAAGCCTATAGCTCTTGTCCAGAAATACAAATTAAAGAAGAGCGTTTGTCCGATTAGATGCAGTAAAGGTGTTTGTCCGACAACACAACTTCTAAAAAGCACATGTAGATTTTAACACGTACATTTAAAAATCTTGAAATATAATAATCTTCTCTGTGATAATTTCGTGAGTGTTAATGGAGCAACTGATTATTACGGTCCATATGTATCAAGTAAATCAAGAGTCGAAAAATCGAATATATTCTTGTATAAAGGACAAAAGGATGAAGCTATCGGCGTTGATCAGGATGAATTCGACTTCATGGTGCATCCTTAGAGATGAGATGCATATATGGCGTGTGCGATGACTTATGGTGGGCTACCGACGTATCGGGTCAGTGCAGCTACCCTCCCAGACTGGTCTAACACAAATTTACCCGACCAGGATGGTATGGATGCTTGCTAATCCATGGGTGTGGGATTGAACCTACTACAATGTGTATATTCTCGTGTATTTATAACCACTCTGTTACACGTGTTCCAGTATCTTGTACAGCCTAGAAAATCAACTCCTTACCTTGTATAGTTCCAAGTTCCATGCATAAAAACCCATCCTTCAACAGTTTCATAGAAGTAATCAAATGACTTGGGAAGACCGCACATAATAGACACAGTCTGAAGAAAACGTTTTGTAGCATTGGAGAACAGACAATGCATGTCTACTAGCTTCATGCTGTACAATATGAAGCTTACTGCGATAATTACAGTCGCTGTGCGAACGTTACTAACACTACTGGTTCCACGAGAATGCAATGGGTAGCTTATGGATATATATCTGAAAGTTATAACGAATTTACAGTAATTTTAAATACTACAGCGTCAAGAATAACATTTCGATTACGCCCTTACTGCATTATATTGAACCTGCAGAAATTATCACTAACCTTTGCCCAGCCAGTAATACTGTTAGCCACATTGCTATATTATGGAATACAGGAGGAAACGCGTCCATTGAATATTTGTTGAGGTAGCACCACCACAGTTCCAAATTGTAAGTTCGATTGTAGTTCCTTAGACATTTGTTTCACTAGGACCTTTTATTTTAGCGTTTTGAAACTGGTATCTCACTATTCTGTGTTCGGCCACTCCTATTGTTTTTTCTTTCGTATTTGTGTATAAGCAGCAATAAATTGCGCTAATGATTACAGACTTTAAAATGCCAAAGGACTTTGAGAACGTGGTTATTACTGATGTGGAAGAGGGAGATCTCGAAGCGACAATACGATACATGCTCTTCACCGCCATTCTCCTCAACATTTCATGAAAGCTAAGCCGTGAAGAACCATGTTAGTTTTGCTGACGATATGACGTGAATTAAACCAATTATCAAGCAAGCGAAGCTATTGCCGAGTGATTTCAGAAAAATAGTTTTAAAGCTGAATTTGGAATAAGAAGAACTTTTTATATTACCTTACTGACTTTACAGAAGTATATGTTAGAATGCAATCAGCATTTATATGTTAGATGGAAAATTAGCACGATAAGATATAAATAGGGCATTGAGCAGTAAGTATTATGAGGGATTCTAAGAGAGCGGCTAGCCCAAAGTTCATAAATTCATAGCGGTTTTTACGGTTTCTATGTATGGCATTTTAGAAACCCGTTTTCGATCTCACAGCTCGTACAAGCTCGTGCTTTACTCTATCAGAGCTGAGATTGGATTAGTCAAGTCGATCTGTTCTGTTCTTGTGCTCAAAGTATGTTATATAGATGCCATTTGACCGTTACTTCTACAAAAAGCATTTTAAAAAGAGGCAGGATTGCTAATTTTGTATTATATATTCTCGGCAAAACCAATTCCCGGATCTACCACCGACCTAGTATCAAAGTCGCATGGTAGCAAATCTCCCTTTGATCCACAAGGGACGCGACTGCCTGTGGTGGTGAAGACCTCGAGCAGACTTTGGCCAAGCTGACCTCACAATTCCAGAGAACCACAATGGTTTAACCAGATCATCTTCGAAAAATCGAAATTGTGCTGGGGTCTGCACAACCAATGAGGGAGAGCCATTTATGTATCAAATAAGTAAGTATTCTCGGTAATTTTTGAGAGAGAAGAAGGTTACGGGCATTTTTGAAACGTCAAACTTTCTCATTTCCAAAGTCTGGACAACAGCAGATCGCAGAGTTAGTACCAACTAATTAGCCATGACGAGGCTTCAAGGCAACCTTAGGTTGCTTACCACAACCAGCGTATGAAATCCGATTGTTGTTCAAGGAAAATAACATAGACGGGATCTCTGATTACAGCTCCATTCTTGACTATAATAAAATTAACCAGTTTTTAAAGGAACGATAACGGATGAAAATAAGCGGATAGTATGTAGGATTATCAGTTGCGGTGAAATTTCAGACATTTTACCACGAATTTCACAGTTTATGAAGAACAAGTTGGCATCCGAAACAGTGCATCTGATTAGACTGTAAAGGGCTCCTGCATCATAAGCTTGTGCTGGGGCTAGAAACAACTGGCTAATATAAGCACTGTTTTCAATTGATAAATTTGGAACAAGGAACCAACCTTTCCTTTCCGATTACTACCTTTTGCATGCAGAGTGGTTTAACGGCATGAATTTCACGTTTTTTCGAAACAGTGCATAGAAATCATTCGAGGAGTCATTTTTTTTAAAGAAACTTCCTATGTTATACCAGCATGGGACGTGTAATTATTATTGGAAAGATGGCAGAAGCTATCGAACAAACGACGCACATTATAAATCAGGTTGGTCTTGAAATAAATGAGATATACATCCAAATTTTAGTCTGTAAAACCGAACGATCCTTCGATTAACCTACTAAGGAAAGAAAGTACAGTTTTGGCCAAGCAGATAAAAAAATCCGCAAATGTTGACGTTTGCTGTGTTTACTGCTAGACAAAGTGATGACGAGAAAGATAGGGGTTGACACTCAGTTTAAGAAGAACTATAATTCCAGATACATGGCCACCCCGATCTAAGAAAAGGATCATGTCTACATATGTGCATATATGATTTTTTATATTTGCCTCTTTTGGAACTTCAGTATGCTAAAAATTTGTGAACTTTTTGTAGCTTACAGGACCAGCTCGACAACTAGCATCACGTGAAAGGTTGGTGTTTGACGTTGCTTCCTTCATATCATATTAATAAGCTGATAGCTGAAGAAATCGATGTTAACGAAACTTATTCGTCACTTTACACACTGTTCTTTTCGATTTAATAGTGTAATACCACTTTTCTAAGCCCTTAGAATTTCGGAACACGAAATTATTTACTTTTCAGGGTTGTAAACGTTCCAAAATATTCTTTTTAATCGAAATCAAAACTGTTGCTTAAGAGAAGAAGCCCAATGCACACCCCATTGTGTAGAAAAAGATTGTCCATGGGAGAGGTATGACACCAACAAGTAGTTCTGCTATTGCCATATATTTTAGGACGACGTTTGTTGGTGACACCATGTTTTTCTTCGACAACACCAAAGCCACAGCGACATTGGCCAGAGCGGCTAGCACCACGAGCGTAGGAAAAATCTGAAACATAGAAGAGGTGTGAAAACAGTATACATTGTGCCCATTTCCAATGCTATTTGAAAACTGCTTGTATAAGTACATATGTCAGTCTAGCGATTCGCTAGGCTCTACAGCCTTCAAGTTTTGAACTTGTCGGTCCAAACTACTTGATGTTGAGTATTTTGCTTTATATTAGCCGATAAAGCATTTGAGTCTATTGCATTAACTGCGATGGTATTTCTGAAGCCTCAAATGCTGCTTATGTTCCAAATGGTTGCTTAACGCTTCGAAAATGTTATATTGTGTCATTCAAATAGTTAAAAGGAGTTACGTATGATTTAGCACTGATAAAATGAGACATAAATACTTCATGTGTGTAAAATTGTTCAATGGCTGCAAGACTATTGCAGAAAATCATCTGTGACTACTACACTGGCAAAGTAGGTTGTAGTTCAGAGATAGTAGAGTCGTAAATTTTATTAAATGATCTGCTTTTTAAAGACAAGGCTACTCCAAAATCGAGTTATGGTTGTTGGATCACTCAACTGGTGCTTGTATATACATCGTATGTCACATCGTATTGTATATACATCGTATGTCACACTGCGTCCACTTGCTCAAAAATGACGAATGGGGCTTGTAGCATATGGCCTATTCAATTCATTGATTACGGTGACCACCTTGTAACTACTACTATACTTCAAGCAAAAAATAAGAACCAATCAGATCATATTCGAAGGATACGCTCAAAGAGCTTTTAACAAATAGTTGAATGAAACAGTAAATAACGAAATCAATGAAAATAAATTAAAAAGTAGCGGATTAGATGAGACTACTTTCTGTGTGGATATATGTGCATACGTAAACGTGATAGAATATTCCTGAGAGGACGTTGGGAATAAAGCACGGATGAGTGAACAAGCAGCAAGTCTCACCTGTCCATAAACCACTTGCTCAAGATGTTGGTGATGTGATAGCGGTAAAATGTAACGATCCACGATGCATTTCTCCATGCAGCCGTCATAATAGGGATGAAATTCTGAAGCGCTTAGAATTTGTTCCAATTGTGCGATCATTTGTGTTCAACTAAGGTATAGCCTGCAACCTTCAATGACACATTTTCTCGCTCTATGTATTGTGCTTTCGTTGAACTGTAGGAATGATGAGGGTCCGCATTTGATTTCTCCTCTATACATGGTCACGATTGCATAACTTGGAATGCAAGCATGTGCATTGCTTCCTTCCCGATGATAGATGAGTGTGCCGGCTTTTTAGTTAAGAACTTGTAGAAGTTCTTAAACTTCTAAAAATCTTCAAGCTTCTTTAACAATCCTGCAAAACCTGCACAATGATATGATTTATTGGAAATGTTGCAGTGAAGAACTCAGATAACAGGATTCTTTAAATGTTATGATGCATAGTCCGAACAAGAGAACTGACGAAGAACATATTCTTTTGTGGTAATTTAATGTTACGAGAAGAATCAGTGCTAATCAATTTCTAGTCAGTCAAAGAAACTGATTTTCCTTAGGAAAAATACAAGATTCGCGATTGGTCAGTACTGATGTGTAGGAAAACGGCAGCACGTGTTGGAGATTCGAACAGATGTAGTAAAAGGAGAAACAATCAAAAGTTTTGTAACTAAAACTATCAAACTGTCGAGAAAAGCTTGAAAAATTTTAAGCTGATGGGTATACTCGAATCTATTGAGGTTCTTTAAAACCTCAGAAGGTTAAAGATTTTTTCCGATCAGTGGAGGAAAAACGAGAATGAGTAGACGAATACCTCAGTTTACCTAGAGATGAGCTCTCCTTTGTTTTAATTGGATAGGGTAACGATATTTATTTCACTAAGCGATTTTCTTCAAACCTTAACATCACATTTATGTTCTTATTCCAACGTTGTTCTTCACTAATTGCGTATATTCTCATCCCATAAATATGGAAGATGTAACAAAAGGCCTTTTCGAAAAGGTTGCAAAAGGAAAAAGTTTGCAGTACATTCCTTTATTACCACTACAGATTCACTAGCTGAGGTAATCCTAGTCGGTTCTCTCGTTGTACTACGGTACTTTATCAAATATGCGTTCTGAGAAGGAATATTTAGGCGAAATGTCACGCAAGTATGGTCAAGGGAATAACTCATGCGAACAAAATAGTGTTCTAAAAGCCTGTCTAATTTACTTGAAGAACTACATATTGCATTAAGCTGGGAGCGCACTTGTTTTAGTTTTAGGCAGTAGGTACTGCATTATATATATATACATGTATGTATATGTATATACATACGTATACACATATTTGCACATATATATATATATATATATATATATATGAAATCGCAGAGCAAAATTGGGAAATGTGCATTTATGCACTTAGAAGTCAAGCAGGTCTTCCAGGTTTGCAAAAAACAGTGCCTAACTTTATAGAAATTCGGTCTGATGCAGACTCAAAGAGCCGTAGAGCTTCTCTAAGATGATAAAAGATGAGCACAAGATGCAAATTTCGTTTAGCTCGGAGATATCTGCCTGGCTTGATGACAGGAAATGCCGGCGTCTGGATGTCCGGCGTTTGTGTGTTGAGTACGTAGTAGAATTGATTTTATTCCTAGGTGGAAATCAAGACTCTCCTTGATGGCGAATATTTGAGAGCAGCCGGAGCATATTAAAGTCAGGGAAAAGATTATGGTGAAGAGGTGAGATTCATAAAATGTGTGCACGCACTCAATTACTTCTGTTTAAAATCTTCCTGCAGCTGGAAGTTTCTGAAAGATATTTTATCATCGAGATATTATTCAAGTATTCTATTGCCACTCTTGACGTCGTCGTAGATAATCTTGTGTATGCAATATAGTTGTAGGCAAGTTTCATGACACAAAAGGATGACAGAGAAGGACCAAGTCACACACGCTCCGTAGTTAATAGTTGCAAGTATACCATTGTACAAAAAAGACACTGAATAGATGACCGAAAGTTGACGCAATAGTGATTTGATACGCCTTCAATTGTTTTATTTTGGTTGGAACTCGTGTAAAGTTTATTTTTGGAAGCCCAATGGATATCATGCATGAACCTGTGAGGAATCTCTTGCTGGTGAATCTGCTTGAGAATATGGTTAGGTCACATTGTTCTTCTTTTTGTAGCTAACAGAAAGTAGCACTTTATAATAAACTTCAGTATTTCACTTCAGTCTTAAACGTCAGCTCAAATGAGAAACTAATGAGCAGTGGAACAACAGAAGATCGCTTTTTGAAAAACAATTACAGCGAAATTCGTGTCGGAGAAAACAGATGAAAAGGAAACAACTGTATTAAGAAATCTTCTCAGTTGCAAAATATTGGCATAAAAAAGCGAAAGTGAGCTGGTGTTCCAGAAACAACAACATATGAGGTAGGCCTAGGCCATAATGGCATGTGAGCAGCATGGGAGTGTCTAAGTCTATGAAGCCTATTACCTATCAGGCAAGGGTTTCACAAAACGTAATTAAATTATTAAGCTATCTTTAGGGTTTGAGTTATATTTAGGATCGTCGTAATTTGGATCGAAGGTTTGGTAGAAAATGGTAATAGCGTAACCAAAAGTTTATAGGCAAGGATAGAACCTCCACAAAAAATGTCGAATGTAAAACTTTTGGAAAGCTACAAAATGTTTAAAAAATTGGATGTGAAACAGTCTCAATGGGATTGTAAGAAAGTTGATGTGGAAGGCTGCCAGAGGTCTTCTTTAATAGTAAATCGCTCGGATTCTCTTATCTTGAATGACAAAGGAAGAGGAATGAAAAAGAGTTAGTTCAATGCGCACGTCGCTAGCACAATGCCCGAAGGCCATCCGATGAGCAAGTCATCACTATGCCCTTCGTAAAAGAGTTTGCTACTACTAATTCTCCGACCTGAAGCTATCGAGCTCTCAAGGGGTAGTGGCTCGAATTTCTTTGGAATTGAAGCCGAACGCAAGCCAATTTTTCCTATTAAAGCTTTTACAATTCTGAGCAAGAAAACTTTTAGGTTTAGTGCATCCTCGCTTGGAAACGCAAAAAAATTTGGGGCGCCTTGAAAAGGGACCATGTTTGGTTTGCAAATTATTATTATTCTACATTATAGTGAAAAGGCGCGAAAATACCACAAAGGGCAATAACGCATTGCAGACGATCCTATTTCTGCAATGATGATCTATTTAGGTTAATGCTTGGATTTAAGGTCACACTTCAGGTTAAGTAACTTGAAACGTTTCCTCAGCAAAAACGCTGATGAAAAATGAACGTCCTTCTTTCGCTAGTTCTTCTAAAATCTCCGCCGATTAGTGCACTTAATCACATTGTTTGGCTTGATTCAATGTTTTTCTACGAGGATGATATGCGGCACCACGGATACCACAAATGCTTTTGCATGACTGCTCGTTGGCTCCCAGTGAGCAGTTGTGCAAGAATACGAACCCAGTGTCCACATTCACAACGGTCTTTGTCTAATCCTAATAATTTGAATCGCTCTCATTTTTAAAACAAATAATATTAACGACTAAAAGCTTCACTTTAATAGTTTTCTCTACTTCATCGCTTTAGCTACAGTCATCTTAACAGTGGCAATCATTCGTACCATATGTGATCACATTAATAACTCTGTAACCCTAACAAGTTTCAGCCAGCTTTATTTATTTCTATAGCTTAAAAAAAGTTTCTCATTGGCTTTCCTTTGCTCAACGGAATGAAGAACACTGTACCCTACCGTAACACAGGTTATTTTGATACCTGGGCAAAACGTAGCTCTTCCTCTACTTTTGTTTGCTGGGTGATAAACTTTCTATTGCTCATCGAAGTTTTAGTTTGAATTTCTTTGGTATTTGACAATGTTTTAAATGCATTCCGTTATCAGTGAAGTTGATGTACGATCGGCTCATTGACACTTCATAAGAGTAATAGAAGACCTGGAATACTTAAAAGCGGAATTGTTGGCGGAAGCATCCAGAACGTGATCTGGATTCTCTTCATCTACTTGACCACTATCACCACTTTCCTATGTGCACATGAAGTAGCTACAAGATACTAAAGAGCACAGAGAAAGACTAATTTGATTTCTTCGACAGCAATATCTCCCTGTCCTGGTACCTCATTTCAGGAAGGTGAATATCTTATTTTAGCAAGTCCTTCTAACGAACCTTGACTTCATAATATATTCGGTGATTGGTCACAAGAACATACACATCTGGTTTTCTTTTGACTCTCTCAGCCATTTCACAACCAACATTCAATGAAAACATCGGTAAACTAACCACCTAGAATAAAAAAAACTGTCGAACTTGTGTATTATTTTTGAACTGTCAAGGATCAATTTAAGTTGTGGTTCAAGTAGTCAATAGAAATAGTCTATCTCTTGGTCGCAATAGAAGTCCAATATAGCAAAATTAATAATATGACGCTTATAATGCTTATGTAGTTGGCAAAACCTTTTCTATTACTTTTTATGTACATCTTAAATTCACACAATATGAGATATCACGTAGGCTGGGTTACCTAGCTGCTTCAAAATTGTAAAAACGTGCAAGTGCACTCATTAACAATGTCTTTAGTTCAGAACCCTGGTTCCACGGCAACTCCTTTTTCGTGAATGAAGAACACTGCTGCAGTTACTGGGCTAATGACATGATATACACAGATATCAAACATCTCTTCCCGATGCAGAGTCAGAGCCACTGTGACTGATTCCTGTGCAAATCATTCTGATCACTGACTACCTTCTTTGTGTGATGACGATCCACTCACACTAGTGCAATGGTTTGTGGTAAAGATTTCACTGATGAAGACTGCCTAGATGCTGATGTATACTGTTGATTCAAAAATAGTGGGGCGTACTATCGTTATGAGACTAACAAGACCATTTTGCAACTAATTTACCTAATTTAATTGTCGATGTGTATATCTGTCAGACAATATTTTTCCAACACTTTTTCTAAAATTGGTTTGCTGAGGAAGTCGGGCCGGGAAAGTTGTATTAGACTTGCTTGATGCAAGCTCACTCTCTCTCATACACACGCTGTAGTACAGCTATCTCAGGATTTCAGAAAGAGTTGACTCGACAAAAAACC